AAATTTACAATTTCTTATCAAATTAAATTTGAGAAATCACATAAGAGCAAAATTACTAAAAATAGAGATAGAATAGAAGTAATTTAACTTTAAGTTAAATTAGTAAAACCGGCCTTGAGACTTCTAAATCCAAACTTTCACTTCCTTTTTCTCTCTTTCTTCCTTACAAAAAGTTCCTATTAATATTTTGGTGTCTTCAAAATTCACCGCTCTAAAAATTCGAAAAAAATGTCATAAAATACTGTGCAAATTGCAATGTCAAGAAGCTTTTTGTGTAAAAATTTCAAAATGTTTCCAAAGTTGGACGCAACACTTGTCACTATATATATATATATATATACATACATACACACATACACACACATGTACATCAGATGCACGTCTGCACAAATCTTGAAAAAATCAAACGAATAAAGATGTACAACCGAGTACATCTAAGGAAGACCCACAGACAGAAGACCATGGCCCATCGACAAAATACTAAGGGCCCAAGAGCGGAATGTCCATCATGTGGTCAACTGGAATGTTCCACCCTTGTAGGATTCCAGTGTAGGGATTTTGGATCGATTTGGGGGCTCGGCCTCAGAGTTTTACCGTTAGAACACATTATCGGGCTAGCATGATGTCTCAGTACACCAAAATCGATGTTGATCGATCAGTGTCGACCGAACACTATCAAAGTAGAGGGAGTCATATTCCTCTTCCAAGGCTGAAGGGGCTTTTGTCGTTGGGTTCCAACTCTTTGTCTCAAGGTTGCAAATCTCTTCAAGGTGTCAACACGCCACAGATGACAACGAACATCTGATTCTTCAATCCTGAATTTGCTGAGCCACAAATTTTCTGGTACTCCATAATATGAGTGTCAGTTATGAGTTTTTTTCTCCTTGGATTACTCTTCTAATTTGTGGCATAATCCATGCTCATCGTAACTTTTAGAATATTAAATTCTTATTTGTTCGTGAATCACACTCAAAAAATAGATTAAAAAAAAATAGAAAGAAAAAAGAGAGAATGAATAACAATCGGTCATGCCATATTCATAAATGATTCCTCCATTTAGAGAAGAGAATCCAATAATGATATTACATATTTGCCCATGTTTTAATGAGGTCCATACTAAGATACTTTTGGTACTTTACATGCTTAAGTCTCATTCAACCACTTTCTGACTTGATCAACAACTTTAATTGACTTTTAGGTCGGCATGATCATCTCGGTCAGCAGAGATTGGTAGGGTACGAGTTGGTCAGCAGATAAGGCCAACATGTTGATCCTTAGTTCACGTTGAGAAACTTTTGGAGAGTCTACTATTAAACAAAATCTTCCCTTTGATTGGCTCTACTAAATGATAACCCTATTACTTTTGATCTATTTTCCTGTAATGATTATCTTTAATGTTCCTTCATCTTGTATCTGACAGAAAAGCTTAAGCTTTAGTCATCCAATCATCTTTTTATCTACCTCTTGATTAAGGTGATTTTGGTCTTATTGTTTTAACTAAAATAGTTTCACTCGATCGGACAAGTGTGCCTCATGAATCACGATCTTCTGACAATGCATGATTCAATCAATTTTTGTTAAGCAATGTGGAGACTCAGTCTACCACAATTTAATTAGTTTCCTCTAGTTTCCTAACTGAGAATTTCACGTACCGCTCACCTACCACATCCTACCTTCCGCTTACCCACCTCTCACCCACCGTTCTCCTAGTTTCTATAAATAACCTCTTATGGATTGTCATAAACAAGCCAAACCAATTCCTGTAAGAGATAAAGAGAGAGAGAGTGAGAGAGAGAGAGA